CTAGAACTGGCTGCTAAGGACAGGAAGAAGTTAGCGGTGTCTTTGAGTGTGGCTGGGAAAATCTTGCCCTCTACCCTTTGTCAGGCTAAGAGCTTCTTGAGGAGGGAATGAAGTCTGGCACAAACTCAGCCTTTTATAGAATGTTTTTGGAATCAAGTATAAACAATTTGACTTGTGACTACCTCATGAGGAACATCCTATTCTGTCAACGCATAGACAGCCCACGGCGCGGTGGGCAGAGAAATTCAAATCTCCAGGCTTCATCACAACCCCAGAGCTGTGGATCTCACCCCCAGACCCACCCTGTATGTTCAATCCCACCTTCTGAAAATGAAGGCCTGTCAATCATGTCTTTAAAAGCCTCGGGACCTTCGTTACTTGTCATCCACTCTCAGCTTAAGTTCCATTCGTGGCTGGGCCAAGGCTTATGTTATCACCCCCACATACCCTAAATGGCTACTTTCCCCCAACAGCTTCGAGGGGTCATATTGGAACATATCACTCCCGTGTTCAAGTGTGGCATTTTCTTGATGTACTTAACTGTTTTACCTCTAGATTGAAGGTAAGGGCGTGATGGTTTCTATGTATCTTTGTAGTCCCAAAATGGGTATTAACACTTGTTCAGGGCCCGTTAGAATTTTCTAAGTTAAAGTTACCTCTAAAATCTGTTTCTGTACCCTAAGTGCCTCCTCGCCTTATACACAACTTGTCTTGTACAGGGCCACAGGCCTACCGGGGGTGGAGGTGCACTGACGCGGGGTGTGGGGGGAATGGGCCACAGGAGCAACTTCGTGAACTGGGCTATGATCGGCTGGCAAAGACCAGTCCAACGCAACTGGTGCCCCCCCTCCCCGGGGTCCCAACACATCACAGAAGAGGTTTTCTCCATGTGAAGGGAACAAAATGAGAGACACCATCACGACTTCAAATAAAAACTTGTGTGAGGGGGGAAAAAAAAAAACAAACTTGTATGCATTTCTCATCCAATCTTCCCAATGGCCTCCGCGTACATTCCTCTCTTTCCTCACTGCGCGCAGCTAAATGACCCCCTCCAGCAAATCTCCATCACACAGGGCTGAACACAGGAAAACGAGGACCTTTGTCCGAATCAAGGAAACTACAGACAAGGCTTTTGGGGTGGAGGGTGTGGGGGGGGGCAAGGCTGACGAGGGGCTTGCTTCTTCAGTTTGGCGTGTGTTGAGGAGGGCTTAAAACCCGCGGTAAAGACAACTCCACCGCCCTCTGGTCCCACTGGCCTGGGCCTGTCCAACGCCTCCTCCGACAGGCAGGTGGGAGCAGCCGAGCGCATAAACCAGCATGAGGTCCAGACGGGGACCAGCATGTGCACTCACAGGTACCCAGCGCCTCTGCTCTTCACGCGACAATTGCCCCCGCCATGGCTCTCTCCAACCACCACGGGTGCCTCCCAAAGAGCTGCCATTCATCACAGGGCTGAGGGCCACTGCAATTTTAGAATTTGGGGGACAGAGGCTTTCTAATAGCAGAAGCCCTGCCCTTGTGAGATTTGTTTTCTCATCCGTACAAGTGGGAAGACGGGTTAGTTGTGGTGACATGGCCTTTCTAAATTTAATATCTTGGGCGTCTGGGTGGCTCAGTCGTTAAGCGTCTGCCTTGGGCTCAGCATGATCCCAACGTCCTGGGATCGAGCCCCGCATCAGGCTCCCTGCTCAGCGGGAAGCCTGCTTCTCCCTCTCCCACTCCCCCTGCTTGAGTTCCCTCTCTCACTGTGTCTCTCTCTGTCAAATAAATAAAATATTTAAAAAATAATAAATGTAGTATCTTAAGAGTGAAGTTTAAGAATGAGATGAGGCTGAGAGCAGTAAATGTGAATAGTGAAGGCTGAGGCAGCAGACTGATCCGTAAATATAGTAACTGATCCGATGGCAACAAACTCCAAGTTCTAGTTCCTGGTTTCTCTGAATTTCACAAGCCTTCCAGCAGTTAAAATAGTAGCAACGTGGTGCATCCCTCCCATCATCAATGATCTCTCCCCCATTTGTTTCCTAAAGCGAGTAAGTATCAAGAGTTTAACTGAATTGCTAGCTACAAACCTAAAAGGTCAAGTTTTGCATAGGGCTCTTTGAACCTAAAGCATGAACCAATGAACTTTTCTATTTTTTTTAAGATTTTATTTATTTATTTGACAGAGAGAGAGAGCACAAGCAGCGGGAGCAGCATAGGGAGAGGGAGAAGCAGGCTCCCCGCTGAGCAGGGATTCCGATGTGGGGCTCGATCCCAGGACCCTGGGATCATGACCTGAGCCAAAGGCAGTGGCTTAACCAACTGAGCCACCCAGGCGCCCCCACCAATGAACTTTTCTAAAGCTCCTTGTCCTTCTAGAAGAAAACCCATACCTACCACCAGGTTACAGATGTTGAGTTTCTATAAAGAAATTCAAATTTTACATCTGCTATGGGGTTTACTGCTTCATCTATTTAGGTGGAGAGAAATTAAGAAATTAACACCTGATACTGAGATCATCACAAAAGAAGGTTCTTACAGTTAACATGCCTTTGCTCCAAACAGGTAAGATTATGTAACTGACATATGAAAGCCAATTTTGGGGGCAGGGGTGCCTAGGGATTGTTAATCTTATGAATGGGTACTTAACATTTATACTTAAGACTTTCCAGTGAAAAGGACGTTCAGAGGTGTCTTGTAAATTTTTTTTTTTAAAGATTTTATTTATTTATTTGAGAGAGCGAGAATGAGAGAAAGAGAGAGAGCACATGAGAGGGGGGAGGGTCAGAGGGAGAAGTGGACTCCCTGCTGAGCAGGGAGCCCGATGTGGGACTCGATCCCGGGACTCCAGGATCATGACCTGAGCCGAAGGCAGTCGCTTAACCAACTGAGCCACCCAGGCGCCCGGTGTCTTGTAAATTCTTGAATTGGGGAAGCAAAACAGGATGCATTAAACTAGATTCAAGTGGGATAATACTTAAGCACACATTCACAGGAAACCAAGGATAGGAAAAGACATAACTAAGCCAGGATAAGAAGTAGAGGTAAGGAGTGCCTACATGACCCACGGATTTGGCTGTTCCCCAGAAGAGGAAATGGTGAATGTGTCTGCAGTCTAACCAGGAGGCGGGGCTTGCGGAGTAGAAGGTGGGGCGGGGCCTGCAGAAGTCCGGAAGTGGGAAGTCGGAGCTAGCCAGAGCTCTAGCGTTGGAAGGCTGGTGGAGGCTCAGGGTGTGAAGGAGGTGAAGGCGACAGCTAAAGTGTGTCCGGACAAAGTGATAATGCTGCTGCACGTCATTCGTGCGTGTTTTCAAGCCAGACTCTCATGTCTTTTTTACTCACTTTTCCACAGATGGAGGCAGAGCCTTGCCAAGGGCCAGCTTGGCCGGGAGATGGTTCTTGGGAGAGGTGGCAAGGGAAACCAGAGTCCCTCTGTGGCGGAGAGGGGTCTCGGGCGCTTTGGTGCTGAAAGGGTTTCTCTCAAACACAGCTAAGCGCTGGAGGAAACTGAACTCCGGCTGCGTGTGTCTCCCAGCCTCAGGAAGGGCGGAGCCGCCAGCATTTGTTTTTCCGGTCACGTTGATCTGTGCTTGAGAATTTTTATACTTGACTGCAAAGCACAGTCGATTTTATGTGCCATACCCACAGTAATAAGCTTAGGATTTCTCTTTATGCCTGGTAGCCTACACAAATGCATTCTGCAAGAAACTATGAAGAGTCTAGAAAAAAATCCAAGCAAGAAAAGACTTCCAAGTCAAGTCGTGCTTACAATTTGGACTTAGGTTCTCAGCCTCTGGTCCCATGCCCAAAGGAGTGCACAGGCATTTTTGTATTTTCAAACGATGATCCATTGGCCTGATGTAGGTTCTGTTGATCCCCTTGTTATCATCGGGGAAACAGTTTCATGATTAAGTGATTTGCTCAAGGTTGCTATTGAATTTTAGACAACACTCCTGTCACCCATCTCCCATCACAAATTCAGTGCCCTTGATTCCTTACATAAGAATGTGAAATAAGATGTCATCTGGAGGGTCAAAGGGAGTCTGGGATCTAAGTAGCATCTGCGTGTTTCCCCAGCAGGCAAGAGCTCATTAAGATGAACCCCAGTCCATACCTGCAACACTATGTTAAGGCTCCCAGTGTCTACCCGCTTTACTTCAAGTCTTAAACAAATCACTTGTCTGAGTTTCTGTATCAGTAAAGTGGATTCACCTGTACAGTTGATCCTTGGGCAGATGGGTTGGGGCACCCACCCACTGCAGTAGAAAATCCACATGTAACTTGACTCCCCCAAAACTTAACAGCCTACTGTTGACCAGAAGCCTTACCCATAACAGTCGATGGACACATATTTTGTATATGTATTATATGCTATATTCTGACAATAAAGTAAGCTAGAGAAAAGAAAATATTACTAAGAAAATCATGAGAAAATACACTCACAGTATTGTACGTACTGATTGAAACAACCTGCACATACGTGGACCCATGCAGTTCAAACCTGTGTTGTTCAAGGTCAACTGTGCTTAGTTTTAGAATCAAGTGAGAGTGTAAGAAAAACAGTTTTTATAAAGTTCCAACAAAAGCGAGTACTAACTTTGTAATAAAACGTATCCGTGAGGGAGTGATAAAGAACTAATACTTGAACACTGGCTACACTGTAGAAACTTGACCTTTACCTGAGAGGTAAAGATTTAAGAGAGATCATTCCCTTCTGTAAGATGAAGAAGCCAGTTCAGAGCAATTAAGTACACCTCAAAGTTAGTGACAGAGCCAAGATTCAAATCCAGAACCTCTGACTAGCAGTGGGCCAGGCACGCTGGGATTCGACAGTTCCTGCAGGTGAACCCTAACCTAAATCACACGGAGCCTGTACTGAAATCGGACCCTGCCTGTGACTATTCAGTCCTCCAGCACCCCCCAACAAACCCGGATGACCTCCTCCAATTTAAAAAGCAGTTATTTTGATAAGTTACCATTTTAGCACATAGTTACAGACGTTAAAACAGTACACAGTGCAACATCTAAACAATTTTTATTGAGATGTTTCGGCTCCTTTTTTATCAGGTTAGTCACTTTGTAAAGTTAACAATTCCTGTAGGAAAAGAGACTTGAAGTTAGAGAATATACACTATGATAGTTTTCCTGGTTTTGTTTTGTTTTTAAAGATTTTATTTTTAAGTAATTTCTATACACAACATGGGACATGAACTCACAAACTCTAGATCAAGAGTCACATGCTCCACTGACTGAGCCAGCCAGGCACCCCTTAATAGATATATATATTTTTAATTCTTATTTATTGATTTATTTTTTTAAAATAAGCTCTATGCCCAATGTGGGGCTTGAACTCATGACCCTGAGATCAGGAGTCACATGCTCTACTGACTGAGCCAGTCAGATGCCCCTGAATACACACTACGTTAAAACAAAGCAAAACACAGAGGTGGTCGAGTGACAGAGAGGTTAGGAGAGATCACAGGGGGACATAATTTTAGGGGTAACTCCAACTAACCCTAATAACATCCCATCCCACCATAGGACTGAGCCCCTTGTGGAAGTTCACCAAAAGCTGAACGTCTTGATTACTATTTCATATGCATTTCACTTTGGTTTGAACTAGAGATTGAACAGAGTCTAAAGATAAACAAGTTGCTGAACATTCATTTGATACACATAATAGCATCATTCACCCATTACAAAAAGCTCTGTAAGTTAACACTGCCTCCTTTCACCCAGCTCAGAGTTTTCAGAAAGGGCATTCTTTAGCTGTATCTCACAATCTGTTTTCCTCAAAGACACTTCCCAGGCATACCTGCTCATCATAGGCTTCGTTGACAAAAGTCTCACTATTCATTAGATTCTCCTCTTCTTGACCGTTTTCTTTATGGCGGGTCGAACTTTTTGACGCTGCTGCACTATTTCTAAGAATCAAAGAAACAGAGTCAAAAAGAGTTTTCCAAAAAAAAAAAAAAAGAAAGAAAGAAAGAAAGAAAAGAGTTTTTCCTTGAGATTGAAGCTGGGATGGGTCGATGGTTGGAAAGGGCCAACTCAACCCCTATCAAAGGCTATTGTTATGGGAATTATGTTCTGTCTTTTGAATGAATCAAATGACCTAGAATGGGTGATACTTGTGTCAATTATGATTTGTTACTAGGCATTCACTTAACTTCCAAAATAATACATCTTCTCAACTGGGGGACTCTACTAATTGGGGTCAGGCAGTACAGAATCCAAGGACAAGTTAGTGGCGACTGGATGCAGGTGAGCTAAGAAAGCATGTTAATGTGGTGGAAAGACCTGAGGTGACCATCAAAACCCCACGGGTAGCATTTCAGTCAGTCTTAACATTAGTAATCTATTAACCAGGGTTACCTTGGGCAAAGATACGCCATTTCTCCTTGCCTTTTTCTTCAGTCTGTGAGTGCTGGACAGAGATGTAACTTTTCAAACTTTCCTTATATTTCTTGATACATAGGCTGCTTAATGTCCCTTCTCAGCATATGAGTGGACCCTAACCAGCATGTGTAACCTAATCAGTGTCTTCAGTTACTATAACTTCTTATACTAAAGCCACTTTTGTCATCATTCCTACTCTAAGCCAGCATTTTGTTATTCTTGTTTGTTTCTTTAATCTCTCTTGCTCTCAGGCAAAACTTAATGTGTTTGCTTTAAATCTTTCCCGAGTTCATTTCACCTCCTGCTATGGGCTGAGTTGTAGCCCCTCCAAATTAGTAGGCTGAAGTCCTACTCACGAGTACCTCAGAGTGCAACCGTTTTTGGAGCTAGAGTCTTTAAAGAGGTATTTATGTTAAAATGAGTTCATCAGTTTGGGCCCTAATCCAATATGACCGGCAGACCTGTGCAGAGGGAAGACCATGCGAAGACACAGGTAGAGGTCTGCATCTATAATTCAAGGAGAAACCAATCCCGCAGACACACTGATCTCAGCCTTCCAGCATCCAGAACGAAGAAAATAAATCCATTGTTTAAGAAACCCAGTCTGTGGTGTTCGTTATAGCAGCGCCGGCAAACTAACCCATCTCTGAATTTTTTTCTCCAGTCATTGGCACGAACTCTGCCTCGTTGGTAAAGAATCTCATCACTTCATCCCTGCAACTGAGCCAGTGACTGCTGCTGGGGCAGATTTTACTTGCACGAAGGCCTCCTATCCCTTACAATGGCATTTGCCCTGGGGCTCAAAGAGGTGGCCTCTGTTGTCTCTCCGGGTCATCTGCTTCATCCCCTAAATCTTTCCTCAGAGGACAAGCTCTTAGGGGAAGAGTCATACCTCTACCCCCACTAATCCTATAAGCCTTCTTTGAAATGAACTCTCCCATGAGGACGTTAAGAGCTGCTCACCTTTTTAATCTGTGCTCCCTTCTGAAACAGACAAATGCTCCCAGAGCGACTAGCACAACTGGAAAGACAATGGTTAAGCTGAGGGCGACGTAGCCAGGGGCAGGTCCATGCGCCGGCTCTTCACAGAACTCCCCGCCATATTCCATCAGACAGCGGCACTTCCTCAGCTCGCCTACCATTGTGCAGATGCCCCTACCATTACAGAAGTCCGTGCTACAGGGCACATGTTTTGCCCTCTGTGAGTCCTTGGGCTGCACAAGCTCGCCTTTTTCCTTGGTTTCTGGGGTCTTGCTTTCTCTAGCAGGAATTGGAGGGATTAGCGTTTTTCTGACAGGATAACTCATCCCTTCTGGACCTGGATATCTAGCCTTGGTGGACTTGGTAGCTTGGAGAGGTAGGGCAGCTTTTGGAGTCAAGCTTTTTCCAGCCTCTGCATTTTTAGATGTTGGTGTTGAATGGGTTTTATCTGGATAGGTACCTACAAAAACAGGTATGAGTGTGTGTATATACACATATTTGTCAGTTAAAAAGGATTTCGGAAGAACAAGAACTCTAGAAGACAACCAGATAAGTTTTAATTTATGAAATCATCAAATCATTACCATTACCTTTTGGCCAACCATAAAACTATTAAAAACATATAAAAAAAAACCCTGCATATCCTAAGGCACTTAAAATGTTTGGTTTGGGGACCAGTCTATCATACCACTCCATTTTTATTTTTATTTTTTTTAAGATTTTATTTATTTATTTGAGAGAGAGAGAATGAGAGATAGAGAGCACGAGAGGGAAGAGGGTCAGAGGGAGAAGCAGACTCCCCGCTGAGCAGGGAGCCCGATGCGGGACTCGATCCCGGGACTCCAGGATCATGACCTGAGCCGAAGGCAGTCGCTTAACCAACTGAGCCACCCAGGCACCCCACCACTCTATTTTTAAACGATGGTATGCCCAGTTTTAGCCATGGCAGATTCCCTCAGCTACAAAAATAGTTTCTTCTATAAATCATAGTATGGTAGGTCTAAGTGTTAAATATCTAGAAAGATTTTTGAGATGTATGTTTATCTGTAAATATAATTTTTTTTTTTTTTTTTTTTTTTTTTTAGTCCAAGTAAACTGTTGGTTTCACACAATCTACAAGCTGCAAATCTTGGACCAGATTTGGCGGCAGTAGTGGGCGGGAGGGAGTAGGCAACAAGATGCTTCTAACCGACAATCTGAAAGTTAGGTTTGCGTATAAGAATTGTACCCTATCCCCCATCATTGTTGGCACGAGCATCGTTCCATACGGAAATACCGAAGACCAAACTACGGGGAGGGAAGGCAGCAGTGTTACCAATAGAACCACCCGCTGCCTCTGCCTCAAGCCGGTGTTACAGGAGCGTTTCTTCTCCTGGGCAGTTTGGGGTCCTTGACAGTTGGGTATATACAGAGGAAGGCAGTCTAGCTTTATATGCTCAGTACTATCCCCCCCAGAAAAAGTTTAATGTACGAGTCAGCATGAAATACTTATTGAGGAGTAGAGCCAACCCCTGGTCATCAGGATGGGAGGGCATGTGAGGGTGGGTTAGGCTTCTGGTTTAGTTCTAAAACCAGATTGGGATGGCGATCCGTTCCTCACTCACTGACCTGCCTCCTAAAGTCACTGTAACATGGGGCTTTTGAGAAAACCACCCTCATTCACGAGAATCAATTCTGGGAATCAAAATCTGTTAGCTTTTCTATTTAAGAGGAAGTCATTAGGGGGAACAACTCGTATTCCAACTCCTCAGCTTTGAGGAGGATGAGGATTTAAGTTGAGAAGTCGGTAAGCACTCTTCACTGTAAGATTCCTTTTCCAGTTTGTTTCCTTATTAGTTATGACAAGTCTCGGGGCTGAGCCCACGGTTTCTTCAATTCCACGGCTTACATGACTTGGCTACCGCTGGAGTGGTGTAGAATTTGAGGATAGTGACTACCACAGAATTGGATATCACAGTTGCTCCACTGACTGGCCATGACAACACCCTTCCATGAAGGCGGTATTCGGCAGCAGCATTTCTGCAACAACCATCTACTAGCCAGCGTTTAGGAAGTCACTTGACAATGGTATGTGCTAATATGGCAGCTTTATTCACACTCTCTTGTATTCCGTAACTCTTTGAGTTAGAAAGTGCTATTTCTTTTTTTTTTTTTTTAAGATTTTATTTATTTGACAGAGAGAGATAGCGAGAGCAGGAGGAACACAAGCAGGGGGAGTGGGAGAGGGAGAAGCAGGCTCCCCGCGGAGCGGGGACCCCAATGCGGGACTCGATCCCCAGACTCTGGGATCGTGATCTGAGCCGAAGGCAGACACTTAACGACTGAGCCACCAAGGCGCCCCTAGAAAGTGCTATTTCTATATTAAAAAGGGGGAACCGAGCCAAGACAGGTTAAGTCATTAACCCCACCTCCTCCTCCTGGGCTATGCTCACTATGTGATCAATTTAAACGGACAGAATCAAATCTTGTTAAATAAGTGCTATTTCAGACAACACACAAACTGTTGAGCACTTTGGAGCTATCTTATTGCCCGTTCTAAAACTGAATCAGAGAGCACATTAGCTTTCCAGAAGGCGTCCACATAATCTACAGCCAATTGCCCATAGTTAGAAGTTTTATGTTGTTCAGTTTAAAAATGCCAGTAATAAAAGGCAATGGCCGAGAGGGTAGAAGCTTCAGGAATACTATAGAACTAGATATTAAGAATTAGATTGAGATATTAAGAATTATTTCATTAAATATTCAAAGTATGTCATGTGTGGTGATGAACAGTGGGCTCCTAGATAGGAATTACTCACAGCTCAGCTCATCGGATCCATCCAGACAGTCGGCATGACCATCACAAACTTGCGCCATGGAAATGCACTTCTGACCATCCTTACAGGACCAGGACGGCTCAGAGCACGGGATAGCTTCAACACATTTGCTTACGTTCGCCAAGTAGTGCCCAATGGGACATTTACAAGTCACTCCTTCAGGGTTGGGTAAACACATATGGCGGCAGCCTCCATTGTCTTTTGAGCAGCTGTTACTACCTGTGGATCGACCCCCCAAAAAAACACATTGATTTAGGTGGTTTCAGAAGGGTCTTTTGCAGATGTTCTACAAATACGCTATCAGAGTTACAGGACCCGAATGTTTTTTCCAGAGTGGATAGCTTTTCAGTTTAACTCCTTTTGGTCAACCAGGTACGAAGTGGTCGGTGATTCTTCTTCATGGGTAAGGATGGCTTTAGAAGGCTGGGAGTTCAGACAAGGGACCAGCTTAATAAAAATTGAGCTGAACTCTGGCCCATCCAAGACCCCATTGTGAGTTCTCCTTTCCCCTCATACCAAGCACCCAACATCAAAACTAGAAGGGTCTTAGAAATAAAGCGCTCTTTAGACGAAAACATGAAGGCTGTGGTGTCTATTATCCCTAAGAATCTGAGTAGTAAGTCAGCCATTTATAGCTGACCGTGGCTCTGCAAGGCTCAGATCTCAAGGTTTAACTTCTAGTAAGGTCTTATTTTGAGATATTCCAGAAACTGTGGAATAGGTCTGTGTACAGCACAGATAAAACCTACCACAAGACTGGCAAGGACCCACCTTCTGCTTCTCAGAACTAAGCCACAGACAATCACCACTTGGATGACCATTAATCACACTGAAGAATTCTGAGAAGGTTCTCTCCAAAAAGCCAAGACTTCAGAAGTTTAAGCATGACTAACACTAGTTTACAAAGTTTAGCTTTCCAAAACAAAGCAATGGAGCAGCATTCACTTAAGACCAATATACTCTACATGGCGCTTAAGACCAATATACTCAACATCCATGGTAGTGGTAGATGTGGTTAACATTTGAGCTCACATTGTTTGTGTTGATCTCGACTAGGAAAAGACTGTATATTACTACTTTAACTAAGCCCATCATCACTCTACTGAGACATTGGAGAAAAACATCTGAGTACCCCCAAGTTGGTATTTCAAGGATTAGTTAACATCACAAGTAGATACAAGTGACAATAAGTAGAATAAAGACTAGTTCCACTGCAGAACTAAAAGACGATTTCAATTATACCACAGATGAATTCCATCTACAATAGAACTTAAAATTATACCAAACTCCAGCCCCAAATATTTACCACTGTTTTGTCTCCTAGAAAAGTAACAGGACTCATTACATACCAGAACTATACTATATATAACTGCATAAAGGCGAGAGAGTTATGCAGATCTGTAAGAACTTGCCAGAGAAATAATTTGGTGGAAAATACAAAGCCATTTCAAGGAGATATTGCAGGAGACAGAGGATCCCCTTCACGGGGAAATTCAGTAGGCTTCAGTGTTGTTGTAATCATTGCAAAGTTGCTTACCCTGTTGACTAAGTTTACTATAAACTTTTAAATCCACAATCTTCTGGTCTATTTGGAACCACTGGTTTTCTGAAAGTTCTGCCTTGCTGTACCAAACTTTAGTGATTTGGGCTGAAACAAAAGCCAGTGAACAATCATTAATAAAAGCAAATTTTAAATACTTTTAAGAAAAGCAAATTTTAATTTTAAGACAACTTCCTGTGCAAAGAAAATTGCTCACTATGAAAACCATCAGCCATCTGCATAAACTCCAGTTGAATAACAAGAGTTTTACAGAAGAGACATGTGTTTTTCTAAATTTTTTTTTCTGGGAAGAAATTTCAAGACAAAGAAAACTAGTTCTATGCCTTCCTCCAAAATAAAGTCAAGTGTAAGTTATGTTGAGCATTCATATACATCCAGATAGGCAAAGATAGATAATTAGGATATGAGACACTTAAATGTAGTCCATGCAAATGATGGGTAATGATTTTAAACATTGTTCTAGAACATATATGCAAATGGCTTTCTGCAATAAGTGTCACCAGTGGATTTTAAAACAGTTAGCAAAGGTCTCACCACATACCTAATAAATTAGCACCTCTGGGGGTAGGATCTGACAACTTGTTTTTGCAAGTGTGATGTGGCCAGCCCAACTGGTCAATGGACCAGCATTTGGAAATATTAAAGAGAGAGATTTTAAATAGCATTTTCCAGTTTCACCAAATCTAGACTCTAGCCAGAAAAAACATACTAGGACACTGTTGTTTAGGCAAATCTCTTTAAATACTAGTAATACCCTGTAAGTACAGAATATTCTGTAGTTCACCCAGTACTTTTATATGTAGTGAGTCAAGTGAGACAGGTACTGCCCTCGCTTTACAGGTAAGCTGTTATAGCTACTAACTGACAGAGCAGTTACACTACCTGGTTCCAATTCCTGGTCCAGTTCTCTCTGTACCACATCACAATGTCTAAAGCAGAGAACTTAGATGAAAGCCAGAAATCTCAGGCAGAACAGCATTAAGCATCTTCATAGATAAAGAATGACCAAATAAGTCAAAGTTTCCCCAAGTCATAGAATCCCTGTTATACATACATGTTAGATTAGGGAAGTTGCTTAATTATTCTTCCAGAAGAAAGACCTTGCCAAAGATCAGTGCTAGGCATTAGCAGATTCGCTTTAGAGACCCAAGAGCAAATTCAGATCGCAAAGACAATCAGCTGTTGAATAAGACCTACCATCATCAGTTGTCATCCAGAACATCATGCCTTGGCCAAATGTAAAGAGGGTAAGGCCCTCAATTCCTCTGCGTTCTACTCTGTATCTAGAGCCGTCTTGTTGAATACTCTCTATGAGTCCTCTCCCTGGAAAGAGAGGCTCAGTTAATTTCACTTAGCCTGCACAGCTCCACTCTATCCTACAGCTTTTTGCGTGTCTTGCCTCCCCTCCAGGAGGACGTTGTCTACCACGTGTTTTCTGAAGGACGGTTCTTCATTCACTCTACTCTAACAGTGATACACCAAAGATTTGCTCATGCACATTTGTTAAGTTCTCGATTTTATTCCTTCACAAAATGACACCTGCATGATTCTTCGGGCTATTACATTCTACTCAGAATGGGGAATCACTTGGTTTGTTTGGAAGGTGGTGTAGAATATGTAAACTCAGACCTAAAAGCTGTTTGAAGTCATGGCTGAAGACCAGAAAGCAGAATGTCACTATTTCACTCTGGTCAAAGTCCTTCAGACTCACGGTTAGGGGGTGTTATAATTGCTTACCAGTATCAGCCCAGTAAACTCGGGTTCCCGAATCCGAAAAGGTTAGGCCCTCAGGGACCTGGGATTTCTGCCACAGCAACTTCCTCCTGCTGCCGTCCATGGAGGCACATTCAATGCTGGACCCACGCCTACCATCATCCTGGGCACCCAGGTCCACAAAGCACATGACTGCAGAGGGTGGGTGCAGCACAACAGAGGTTGGGTGGTAGAGATTTTCACTGACCAGGACAGTGGGATACTGGCCTTTTGAGGAAGCTACATTGATGTGAGGATTCTCACTGTCAATCCAATATATGTTTCCACTCAACCAGTCCACAGCAAGGTCGATCACTGTTCCCTCCACAGATATGATTTTCCTCCAAGAGAGTTTTCCAGATTCTTTGAGCCTCAGTAGCCTGATATCACCATTATCCAACTCTGAAAGGTAGAAAGCCTTTTCCTGGACTATGTAGTCCAGGGATGCAAGCTGTTTCACACTGGTAAAGGGAAGTATCCTATGTTCTGGTAAAGCTGGTTGTCCTAGTAAAGCTTCTAGGTTTTTCAGATAAATCTATGGGGAAAAAAATTAGGTGGATGGCACCAGCTGAATCTAGTATAATTCTTCATCTTGATTTTGCATTAATGTTACAATATTTAGAACATATGAAAACCTGAATTTATCATCTAAAAAGAGATAGCCATTATTTCTCCCCTTTCCTGGAGTTCTAAGCACTTAAAAGTCCTTGAATCCACGTGGTTCAAAGATTGACTCCTTTGTTAAATGCCCTCCCCTTTATTTTATAAATGTTTAAGCTATAATTGACATAACATTTGTCTAAGTTTAAGGTGTATAATGTGTTGTTTGGATACATTCATATGTGAAAGGCCCTCCCCTTTAAATGAAACTCTACTAGTAATATCTTACTGAAACTGAAGTCAATCCTCCAACCCCAACATTTGTCATTTTAAAGTGTCCAAGTTGATAAATCCTCTATATGGTAGAAGTCAGAAGTGACTTGTTTGTTGGTATTTCCTATGACTTAAGAAAAGTTCCCTCATAAAATGTACTTCCCCCTCACCAGGCTAGAACCCAGCTGAGTTGCTTGGATTTAGAATTACTCTATATCATCAGTGAGATGCTTGGACAACTACACTAGATGAACCATATCTCAGATCCCTAACCTAGCTCTGGCATACTAGTTCTCAAGGAGTCTTTAGCACATAGCCCCTTTATTTTGGTCATGATAGCGCCCAGCACACAGTAAATACTAAAATTTAAGTTCTTTTTGAAGAATATTCCGGGGGTGGGGGGTGGGGAGCGCCTGGCTGGCTGGATCAGCAGAGCATGCAATTCTTGATCTTAGGGTTGTGAGTTTGAGGGGTGTAGCAATTACATTAAAAGGATTAATTAAAAATATAAAAATTAAATAAAATAAAAAAAGACTACTCCAAGGGCCAGGGGCCCTACTATATATCACTGTGCCTGGAGAATTCTAATTACTCAGTTCTGAAACAGACCACAGCCCAGGCACAGACATGTGAGTGAGGCTACGGAACAGTACCTGCATGATAACTGTGGGCAACACGAGGAACAGAAATGCAGACTCCTCGAGCGCAACACAGGTGATGCCATCATCTGCCAGCAGGAGTCCCATTGGGCAATGACAGCTCCCCTTGGATCGCGGGCTCAGAAGGCACAAGTGAGAACAGCCAGCGTCCAGACAAGGATTAGGAGACTCGGGCTGGAGCACTTCGTGCATTATCTGCAAGAGAATAGCTGGATGTCACTATGCATTCCTGAATCCTTACAAACAGCAAATGAATAAGTCTTGTTTTAATCATGATGGAAGACGGTCACTACGGTTTGTACTTGGGAAGCTCATACACGTAGCCTTTTCAGGGAGAATTAGGGGGGATATTTTGAAGAGTACACAGTAGACCTTGAGTCCATGAGGCTGTTGGGAACGCTTGATGAGGACAGCTCTGTTCTTGCCTGTGGTCTTCTTCATGTGCTGTACGGTTCTCGTCTTCACCTCAGACCAGAAGACTTCATCTTCGAACACAGCGACTGAAAAGGGGCGCTTGATTTGCGTTAGCTGCAACATCTAAAATGGGGATGATGAGGTTTCTGGGATGAGTTTTATACAAGGCATGAGACATCACACACAGCCTAATACCAAGGAATACTTACATGAACACCAGTACCATCTAGATTAGCAGAGCCAATACAGTGAAATTTGTCATCAGACCAGAATATCTTCCAGCTCAACTGGTCGAGGGCTATGCTGGTTGGCCAGCCAAGACCTTGACTGACGAGGATTTTTCTGCTGCTACCATCCATCCCAGCTTGTTCTATTTGAGGTTCTCCTCCGATTTCAGACCAGTACATTAACCTGTGTGGATAAAAGTCAGCTTTAAAGTATTACCTCACAGACAATATCGATTCATCCCTTAAACCACTGATTTCTAGCCCAATTATTTTTTCCTCAAACTTGGTCTATTCCTTAAGTGAAATTGTGAAGTAAAAAGAGTTTCCCTTGGAATCTTATGATGCTTGTTTAGTCATCACTTGGAGATAAAATATCATGACAGTTATAAGCAGCCAAGGAATCCAGTAGTTCCTGGACCAATCTCTCCTGGGCTAGAGAACAGGCTGGTTCTATGGGAAGATGTGCACCTCGGACCTTACCGGTCGCAGTCAAGGCCATTAGATGCCTCAGAAACTACGGCCAATTTTCTGAGGACCATGGTAACAGATTTCGGGTTGAAGGTATTGAAAAGGTGAGAAAAGCAGATAGAGCGTACCCAGTCTGGGTCACCTTTCGGTCCTAAGTTTTGCTCCATCTTGTTCTTAGATTTGACACACACATGGCCACCCCAATGAGGGCTTGGCTCTGACAGCTAGGAAATGTTGTCTCTAAGTTCCCGGCCTTTTCCAGAGAGAAAGGACTCTGGAGGGAAAAACCTAGATTCAACCACAACACAGTTATTTCCCCCACTACTACCAAGCACATTAGTGTAAATTAAACACTATCCCGGGGCGCCCGGGTGGTTCAGTCAGTTAAGCATCCGACTATTGATTTCAGCTCAGGTCATGATCCCAGGGTCCTGGGATCAAGCCAAGTGTCGGGCTCTGCACTCTGTGGGGAGCCTGCTTGAGGATTCTCTCTCTGCCCCTCCCCCTGCTTGCACTTTCTCTCTCTCTCTCTCAAATAAGTAAATCTTAAAAAAAAATAAATCCTATCCCTAGTTCCATTCTCCTTCCTCCTGCCATTTAAAGCCATAAAAAAATATACCTCTGAATGGAGAATTATTTTCACAGAAGAAAGTACAGGTGGGCCACCAAGTGAGAACACCTATATCTCACCTCACTGAAATAAAGAACTTTTATCAGAAGCTTTTAAGATTACTATACGTATGGTTGACCCACATCACCATAAGATTTTAATGTCAAGTCAGATAGGTTTTTTTTACTCATTCTGTGTTGAGGGAACACAACCAAAGTAGCACTGGACTTGACTGGCATTTTGACCCCCAGACTCACCCATTTAGGGGATCTAAAGCCAAAGACCGCGGTTGAGTCAAGTCATCATCCAGGACAATCGTGTGCTCGGATTTTCCTCTCCACACAGCGGTCAGCTGAACTGCCAAAATCCGGCCAGCTGTCCCATCCACCCAGTAGAGGTTCCTTCCAATCCAGTCGACAGCTATACAGTCTGACTTTATCCCTGAAGAGAGAGCAGAAACCATTCACCATGTGGATCTAGGTTACGTTATGGCTTTTACTAGGTTTCAGCTCATAGGCATCAGACTTGAATACCATGTTAATTCATTTTACAACTGGTATACACATCTCCATCAGAGCAATCTTTAAGTTCCTCCAAGGTTCTATTTGTAGAGGAAGATGACCATTAGAAATAACGGCCACTGGCTGACAGTTTGGAGGACTCGTGTGGTCTACTGAGGTAACAACGCAGCTTTCCATTTCTAGCCCACTAGCAGGCCTTGGTCCCTTTTAGTTAAGAAGATTTCACTGAACCAATGTTTAGAATGTTAACGGCCATTTTTCATGTTATGTGTCATTCATAAGGGCAGGATGAAGCCCGCACAGGGGACGTACCCTTCACCATGGTTCCCTTCTTCTTTGTGTCCATACTTATCCACTCAATGCTTTCTGCACTGAGATCAGTCCAGAAGACTTTCTGCCCCACTAAGTCATAGTCAATAGAGACAATCATCACGTCCTTGTCTACAGTTGCCAGAATGTCTTCCTTCAAGCTCCTCAAGCCATAGAGGAGGAGGTTGAACTGAAGCGCCACCAGCAAGATTGGTTCAGTACCTGCCAGATAAGAACTGGGTTCAGCATGTGGCCTTACGGAGCCTGAATGTTGGACTCAGCCCTGGCTAAGGAATAAGAGAACAAAGTAGTCTTGGCCTTCTCGCTGCCAGGACTGGGACACCAGCTGGCTGGTGGTTCTCCGCTCGATGTGATGCTTGTGCTAATACCCACAGTTTAAAGATACTTAGAATAAAGGCATGAGTAGCATAAACTGGAAAAAAAAATTTCTAACTAAGTATGTAAGCGTAGGTGGGCTGGAAAGAAGGGCTTATCGAGACTTCTGACATTTATTCTCACTTGAGGTAAGGCTGACCTGTGGCTACAGGGGCCAGAGTCGTGGTTCTGTCATCATGCTGGCTTATCTGTCGACACCTTCAGATCTAATTCCATCTGAACTGCTGCCTTTAAAAAGGGGATCTGGAGAATGTGCCAGGCTTGCACGGCAGACAGAACGCAGGCGGGAGCATTTAAGACTTGAGAAAGAAGGTTTACATTTGTATTCCTGGGAGATTCAGGACTTCGAAGTTCCTGACCCAGGTCTTAGGAGACATCCCAGTTCCAGCGTACCTGTTGCTTTACAGGTGTGGCCATCGGGCTCCAGCGAGTAGCCAGGGTGACAGGTGCAGCTGTAGGAGCCCTGGGTGTTGACACAGGTCTGACTGCAAGGCCGACTGCCCGGCTTCTCGCACTCGTCCACATCTTTGCAGACCTGGCCATTGCTCCCCAGCTCGAAGCCCTGCTCACAAGCACATACCTGAATGGGTTTCAAAAACATTAAGACTTCCTGAAGACACGGAGACATAACCTTGATGAAAAGGCCTGACCTTGCTATTAAAAGCACATGGCGATGAGCTTGATTTCAGCAGCTCAAAACAAAAAAAGTTCTTAGAACCAATTTCACTTAAAATCCCGTCATTCTGTCGGTCTTGTCAACGCTGACGCACACCTCACACCCTGGCCACCACCGTGGGTCCTGAGTTAAGGAAGGGATCCAAGTTCAGCCCAGGACACCTAGAACCCCAGCAGAATCGGTAGGAGGCAGGGAGACTGAACTGAACGGGCTGCCCGCCAACAGAGAGGTTACCGTGATCAGACGTCAGAACACTGTATCCTTCTACTCGCCCATCAGAGTTAAGTTCACGATGTTCAGCCAGCTAATAATGCTAGACCAGAACACGGGGCAGTCCTCGATTTAAGGGCAGGTCCCATTCCAAATACACACACGGAAGAGACGTCCACAAAAACATGTGGCTTAGTCCCAAGCGTCGCCCGGAGCTCACAGCAGCGGGGTTTCTGGAGGCTGGGTGGTAAAGCTCCAGGAGACACGACACAGGGAAGGAACGTGACAGGACTCCGCGGGGGCCAGGAAGGGCTTGACGGACACGAGAGGGCCGATCAGGACAGCTCAGCCACGTAAGACTCGGGGCCTCCCGAGCAGCGGGGGCCGGCCCGACTGACGAGGTTGCCCCCGTCACTAGGCCAAGTTGACAGCCGCTGGTGAGCACAGCTGCGTGAACTCACCGGCCCGTGCGGGGACTGGTAGCAGGCGTGGGGACACCGCGCTCGGCGGCATGCTGACGGCGAGCACGTTCCACCTTCATCGGAGCCGTCGGCACAGTCCTCCTTCCCGTCACACACCAGGCGGAGGGCGAGGCAGCCGTGGGAGCGGCACTGGAACTCAGAGCTCTGGCACTTCGGCGGGGGGCCTAGAGAGGAGAACTTTCTACTTTAGAGTCTGCTGCCCGCCGCCCCGAGCAGCCGTCCCGCGGCAAGGACGCACAGTCAAGACACCTCCATCCTGGTCAGGGAATGGATGTCAGGGCCCGTGGCACTTGCTGGCTAAGCTGGCTTCTCAGGCCTAGAGAGGAAGCCAGCAGCCGGCGCCCCTGGAAGCCCCCTCCCCTCAGGGGGTGCCCCTGCGCTTACACCCAGCTTCGTCGCTGCCATCCTCACAGTCTCTCTGCCCGTCACAGCGCCACGCGCCAGGCACGCACTGCTCTCCGCCGGCACAGGACCACTGCCTGGGGCCACAGCGAAGCTCCTCCGGGTCACAGTCCTGAGGGGACAGTGACTCGGTCAGCGATACCTGCACTCAGAGCCCAGGATGGGGTTCTTGGAGGGAGAACGAGCCTGGCTTACAAGACAACACTAGAGTCCCTTCTGCAACGAGGCCAGAGGAAGCCCCGAGACTCAGAAAAACGTTTTCAGCAGCCAGAGTTCAGGGGAGGAGGTCTAGCTAAAGCAAACCTGGCTGTGAAGTGAAAAGAAAGGTCTTATTTTGTCAAACCAGGACGACTTCATTTAAGAAATCTAAGCATAAGAATGCACTCTTGGGGGGGCGCCTGGGTGGCTCAGTTGGTTAAGCGACTGCCTTCGGCTCAGGTCATGATCCTGGAGTCCCTGGATCGAGTCCCACATTGGGCTCCCTGCTCAGCAGGGAGTCTGCTTCTCCCTCTGACCCTCTTCCCTCTCGTGCTCTCTATCTCTCATTCTCTCTCTCTCTCAAAAAAAAAAAAAAAAGAATGCGCTCTTGGAACCTTTCTTTAGAATTCCTTTGCCATTTGGGGGCGCCTGCGTGGCTCAGTCGGTGAAGCGTCTGCATTCAGCTCAGATCATGATCCCAGGGTCCTGGGATCAAGTCCTGCATCGGGCTCCCTGCTTCTCCCTCTGCCTCTCCCTCTCCCTCTGCCCCTGCTCATGCGCTCGCTCGCTCTCTCTCAAATACATAAATAAAATCTTAAAAAAAAAGAAAAAAAAAGAATTCCTTTGCCATTTCAAAACCGCCCCTAGCACATTAAACGTTACGGCATCCTTCGCACCTCTCCTGACCTGGACACTCGGCTCTGGGGCAGGAGGTACTAGAGGAGGGAGGGGACATCTGTGCCCCTGCTAATAGCCCCGAAACTTTAGATGCATTCTCAGCCCCTCAGGCACCACAAGGCCTATCTCCTACCCATTTGACAGATGAGGAAGTAGAACATGAGGGAGTTAGTACTTTCTTCAGGTCAAACGCAAGCAGCAGGGTTCAAGCCAGGCTGCATGTCCCACAATGTGGCAGGGTCAGGGCACTTCTCAGGGATGGGGAAGCAGAGCTTCGGAGCAGATCTCTGGGGGGACAGTTACACCACGGCCATGAAGACCGAACACTTGCAAACCTACAATAAAAACCTCTTAAATGTTTGTCTTTCGACAAGAGCTCTTCTCACTCTGGACACTTAGTTGTTGTGACGAGTGGCTTTCTGGGCAGGAGGGATGAGAGCCTTCTCTGCTCTTGGGTTTTCTCACATTTTCTGTAAGGAAGGCAAGTGTTGCAGTTGTGAGGAGAAATCAGTTTTTCTGAAGAAGGGTGCGCTACCTGCTCGTCAGTCCCATCCTCACACAATCCAAGCCCCGGTCACAGAGCCGCGCGGCGGGCACGCACTCTCCACCCCCCGACACTTCACCTCCCCCAGCGGGCACTGCAGCGGCCAGGCCCCAGCACAGCCGTCCTCGTCAGAGTGGTCCACGCAGTCTCGGTTCCCATCGCAGCGCAGGGAGTTCAAGATGCACTGGCCGTTCCGGCATCGAAATTCTGGGGCGCTGCATTCTGCATGAACTGGAAAACAAAGCTTTAGGTAAGAGCTCAGCCAGATGTGGAAGCCATCTGAAGGCATGTGAAGCGCTGTGAAGACTCTCCAGTCTTCTGCTGTCACCTGGGGAACTAAACCCCAGAACTCAAAGGCAGTTTGAATAGTGTTAGGCCAGAAAAGGCCTACTAAGCTAGCCCAGAAAAACCCCGTCTTGGAGAATGAGGGTGGGGGGACAGGCAGGGGACACACGAAGGACACTGGGGTAGGGTGAGGAGTAGGGCTCCTCTCAGGACCTTGACAACATCCATGAGGAGAGAAAGCCTCTCATGACATCCAGCATACCCTACATGTTATGTTCTTGGGCTCAGTTCCTACAGACAGAAGTTGCTTGACTTGGCTCAAGAAAAAAAAGCTCAGGCCCTAGGCAAAACCATAAATACGCATTGAAAAGTAAATTATACTTGGGGTTCCTTCCTGCCTCTCCTCCTGCTGTTCTTCTCGTAAGTCCGAGTGCACTGATAATGGTCTGGCTACCCAGTGACCTCTGTATGCAAACCTATCATGGTACCTCACCCAGCCTCCTCCTCTGCCCACTTCAACTCTCCAAATTCTCTCTTCTACCCTATTCTTACAATGTGATTAAGGCTCTTGAAACAGGTCACTGGGAAGACTAAAAAGAAAGACTGAGTATCCCATCGACAAGAGGGGAAAGCAATCACATCTTAAAATAAGGACGGCCCACCGCATGAGAAGACCTAGGATCAAAATTAAAATCTTCAAGATGGTCGATTCTAGCTCAAGAAACATTGTGTCAAGTAGACTGGTTTTCCACTAATGGGAATCTCGTTACAGAGAGGGAAGTGTTGTACCATGATTTCCAACATCCCTCCAACTCAGACCCTTTCATCCCAGGCTGCTAACTCCGTGGTAAGTACAGTCCATCTTCGTTACCTGCAGATTCATTATTTGCACATTCACCTACTTGCCAAAATTCGTAACCCTCCCCCCAAATCCATGCTCCCACACTTTCATGGTCATTTGAAGATAAGCATACACAAAGCAGCAAAACACTTGCGTTGCCTAGCGCACGTTTCCAGTTGAGGTGGAACAAGGCAACACTCTGCCTTCTCGTTTCAGTTCAGGACACTGCAAACAAGTGTCCTTTCTGTGGCCTATTTAGAGCCATACTTCCCATGTTGTACTTTAGGGGGATTCGGCTGTTGAAAAGGGCCCCCAAGGGTAGTGCGGAAACGCTGTCTCGCGTTCCTAGTGTGAGATGTCTGTGAGCTGCCTTACAGAGCAAATACATGTGTTAAGCTTTGTTCGGGCAGGAGTTATAATGCTGTTGGCTGTGACTTCAATGTTAATGAGTCAACAATACGTATGTCAAGTGGTCTTTAAACAGCAATACACCTAAAACAAGATTATATGTTGATTAGTTGACAAAAATATTATCACGACAGATTCTCGGAAACCTCACCTTACATTTTTCCTATGAGCAATGATGTGATATGTGTTCATCCAGGGTTGGTGGCAACTCCGTAGAACATAACCTACCACAAATGAGTTGCACGGTACTTACCGCATCCTTGTTCATCTCTCTCGTCAGAACAGTCTGCATTGCCGTCACACAGCCAGCTCTTGGGGATACAGCGGGTCTTGTTGTCACAACGTAAAGAACAATCTTCAGTGGGCTTCCAGCAGCCCAGCTCGTCAGACCCATCTGAGCACTGCTGAGCCCCGTCGCAGTGGTACTTCTCCTCGATGCACTGGTTTCTGCTCAGACACTGGAAGACCCCTTAAGTGGAAAGGACCAAGGGCTCGTGCCATCTACTCAGTCCTACTGAAGGTTTAAAGTTAGATTAACTCACCCTCATCCTGGAGGTTGAGGGGTAGGTGGACTGCATCCTAACTGTTCAAGCCCTATAGATTATCTAATCCATAAACAAGCTTTAATAAAGTGCTCAGGTCAATTAAATTAGCCAGCTGAACGAGGTTTTGTTCAAGTAATAAGGGCTCATATTGGTTTGGTGACTTTAACAACTTGTTGAAAAACACTGCCAAATCTGTTCTAAGTGGTCTGTTCAGGTCAGTTTATGGCTCAGCCTTTATAGAGGCAAATAGTGGAACACTTAAGCAAATTTGAGGAGGCAAGGAAGCAATAGTTAAAAATTACACCTGGTAAAACATCTGACTTGACTGTGATAACACGGATACTAGCAGAGTCTGTAATCTGACAGACTGGGACCTTTAGCTACAATTCACCTAGGGGAAGCAAGGGTGATTGTGATCAACGCTGGTCATTCACGCCACGTGCCCAAAGCTGAATCAGCATCCCTGGCACAGAGACAGACCTGGTCTGTTGCAGAACCGGGGACAGTCCCCTTCATCCGAGCCATCCTGACAGTCCGGCTTGCCATCGCAGAGGTACTCCTGAGAAACACATCCCTCCCCGTTCCGACAGGGGACAGAGGATGGGGTGCAAAGCAGCGGGAGTGCTACAGGAAGCGCAGGGGGAGGACCGTCTGTGGCCGCCTCTTCAAGCTCAGGATCTACAATAAACAGTGGCTTCAGTGAGGCAGGCCCTGAGGTCTCGGCACCAGAGATGTGCTTCTACTGTCCCCCTCCTCCAAAAGCCATGTTGGGGTTGGGCAGCTACATGTGTCTACCTCGTAGGAAGAAAAAAGTGAAATGGCCTCAAAGCCTAGATCCTTAGGTGAGATGAGGTCCATCGGTCCATCATCTAATGGCTTCATATTTGGGCAAATCGTTTTCTCCTTCAAGCCTAATAACTTCTTCTCACTGCCTGATGCTATCTGCTAGGAAGGAAAAGTAAAGTTTTGGGCGCCTGGGTGGCTCAATTGTTAAGCCTCAGTCTGCCTTCAGCTCAGGTCATGATCCCAGGGTCCTGGGATCGAGCCCTTCATCGGGCTCCCTGCTCCGCGGGAAGCCTGCTCCTCCCTCTCCCACTCCCCCTGCTCGTGTTCCCTCTCTGTGTCTCTGTCAGGTAAATAAAATTTTAAAAAATAAATAAAGTTTCTGCAGACAGGGACTTGTTCTGTCTGGCTTCCTGCTATAGCCTATAACAAAGCCCCCCCGGATCCTGTGATAGGGTTTCTGCTTTGTCTGCTTCAAGATCCAGGATCCGATTTTTTGGCGCCAGGCCAAAGGCTTATGTGAAGAGGAAAAAAAAAAAGCAGCTGTAAGCAGGGTAATCTGAACTACGGGTGCAGCTTCAACAGCCGGAAGGAACTGCTTGTCCTGGTTGGTATCCACAGCCCCAGAATGGTTTCGCAAAGGATCCTCGGCGAGATGCTGCTGCTGGGGGAAGCGGGGGTTCCTCGGTAAAATCTGTTCAGGAAAGTGCTTTAGAACAAATTAAATGGATCTTTTTACTGCCAGATTAAGAGGTTTAAGATGCTAACGTGCGAGAGGACTCCCCAAAGGGGTTATGGTGGGCAAACTTCCGGGAGTTTTGCCTGCGGTCTTGTGTCATTTAGCAACTTTGAGAAAGGTGTCCGATTCTTACTCCTCCAGGATAAGGCCAAGTTAGGGAGAAGGCCCGCTGCACTGTGGGTCAAGACAACTGCCAATACAAAGATACCCAGGATTTTATCCTCTGAAAACACACAGGCGAAAGAGAGAGAAAGTGGATTTCAAAGAAGAACCCCACAGAGGAAGACTTGCCTGAAACCTGCTGATTCTCTGCCAGGATGATCATTTTCCTCACGTACGGCTCTTTTGACACCGCGAAGGGCTCCGGCGTCCTCCTGTCCCACAGCAGAAGGGCTCCCCTGTGCACGGTCACCAGGTAGGGCTCGTGAGCCGCTATAATGCCGTCACTCCAGGTTTTGTTCAAAGTGTACGTTCTATTTTTTAGGAGACTCAGACTTTGCAACCCTAAGGAAGAGTCAAGTGCTTACAAGCTGACAGAGAACAAGTAACCCGTGACAGGGGGCATGGGTAGCCCTCGATTAAGGGTCAGTGAGCCCCAATGATAATAAGCACAGATTCTTCCTATCGAGTTTTGTAGGTTTCAGTTTTGTAGTTAAAGATAGTCCCAGGAAGTGTTTAAAGCTCCAGGAACGCGAGATCTGCCATGTGGAAGCGTCAGGCATGCCTTTCCTGTCTTTCAGGCGGTGTGCTAACACGCTCGGTCGCCTGCACACAGCCACCAGCCATCGGAGGTGGCTTCCGGAGGAGGAGACCATCAGAGCTGGCAGCAGGGTAGAAGTTGTATCTGATATCCAGTGTACCTAAAGCACCTCTGTTTCATTTGCAATGCAAGTTTGGGTCTATTACTTCTACTCATGGAGATAGAAACATATTCCGAACAAAAAGCAACTAAGTGTATGTTAGCTCTGCAGTTTTCTACGTCTCAAGTCAGAATCTAGACTTACAAAGGAAACCGAGTTTGAGCTGAGGGACGTGTGCCCAAGCTGTAACTATGAAAATCAGAATTTGAGCCGAGGTCTAGCTAGTTCTAGGACTGACAGCGATCCTCATGCTGAAATGAGCCTTACCACCACCACTCCCCCGGCTTCTTCCAACCGCGCTGCTCTGTGTCGCGCTTACCTGACCCTTTGGTCGTCCAGAGGATGCTAGACGAGCCAAGGTCTAAGGCCATGTGGGTGTCCGCCGTCCAGGTGCCTGTCCAGACTTGCTGTCTGGTTTTGCCATCGAGGGTCATACTTTGCAAGTATTTCCCACTTTCTACCCAGTAGAGCACTCTCTTTGGCCAATCGAGAAGAAGATGCAGTATAATGCTGCCTGTTCTGTAGAGGGTCCGGGTGTCTGGGCCAGGGATTCTAGTCTTCTGGATAGCGCTTCGGTCACAGGACACCCAGTACAAGTTCCCCGTGGATATGTCCACATTTGCTGAGCAGACTGTGAGGGGAGAAAGGAACTCCCATTAGAAAGGACATTCAAATACATTCGTGCATGGTCTTAATGCCTTGGGTCAAGGATAGAAGATGCTCAGAGAGATGCAAAGCCTGGTCCCTACAAGTCTACATGCCTCATTCACATGAGGAGTCCCATCATGCTTACTCTGGTTCCAGCACCTTATCTCTCATACGAGCCCAGGTGATCCTCACAACCAGCTGGTGAGGGAGATATCCACCGCCTTTTAGAAGTTAGATATCTAAGTGGCAATGCTTACGTTTGCATGCAGACCTGCAACTTTGGATTCACCTCCCTCTTCATCAGTTAAGTATGAAAATCAATCAATGATATGCCAAGTGGCTAGAACTGAAATCGCTATGGGAAAGCAGAGACTGGGTAAAGTGTCACCACAACAGTGGTATGAAAGGTCACCAGTAGAGCGGATGGATAATGAGGAGACCTACAGCCAGAAGACAGAGATAGGGTAGGGACCAAGTATGTGAAAGCCACAAAGTGGTAGCTTTTAAATGTAACAGACGTGGGCACTAACCCACCAAGCACTCCCTACTCCCATCCTGGCCCAGTAGAGCTGCACCAGTGGGTCTCAGCTAGGTAGTACCCACCCTGGGGTGCAGTATAGCATAAAAGAGCAGTATTAGGCTAGCAAGTCAGATTGCCGTTTTTGAAGCACATTCCAAAATAAGGTGTCAGCTAATTACTATGCCTCAGTTTCTGCAAATGCCTGGTTGGGACGGTGCTTTTCTCAGTTTTGAGGATTAGAGTTCGTACCCATGAAGAGCTTAGGAGAGCATCTGTTATCTTAGAGCGATGTGCTGGAATGGCCAGTTGTTAAATTCAGGAATGCTGCAAGCTTGCTGTCCGATATAATCATTATTAAAACTAAATTACTTCAACTTAATCGCATTTGAAATGAAAATACTCCAGTCCTCACATTCCTGCATTTTGCTACTGCACACCCCTTTCTAACCCCACGTCAAGTGACATTACATTGGGAGCTTGAAACCTGGCACTGTGGGCGTATTTTTAACCAGAGCCATTGGCAAACACTCCCTATCTTGGGAGGGCTTGATTTGTTTTCGGTTTTGTTTTCTAGACCAGGGACTGACAAACAATGGCTCTTGGGCCAATTCCAGCCTGCGGTGTGTTTTTGTAAATTCCAGGGGAACACACCATGGTCATTCGTGCACATACGGTCCTTGGCTCCTTTGCAGATACAATGGCAGAGTGCCCGACTAGCCTGAAATAGTTAACTGTAGTTACTGTCTGGCCTTTTCTAGAAAGAGGCTGACCACCCCTGGCCTGAACTTAAGTGGCAGAGGAAAGACATTAATATATTAAATTAAACTCAGATGAGTCCCACCTACAGCCATGACATTTTAAAGACCACAAAAGTTGGGGGAACATTTTCCTAGTATTTGAAAACAATTATCCAAATCCACAAATAAGTCCTTTGGGTCAATAAGCTCATTCCAATTAGTTTTCACTGGTGCACTTCTTGCTTGTTTACGGAAGCGAGTGTCAAATAACATTACAGTAGGACTGTATTCACTCAGCGATGGCAGCGACTCCTTGCCAAATCAGATCGCAATCAAGCATTTATTCATGGTTGGATTTTGTTAAATTTTGATTGAACTATAAACTGCTTTTTTATTCTGAATTCTTGGATCTGTAGCCAATCTGAAAATCATGTAGCTATGTGAAATTTACAACAAAGGACGTTGTATATTTTGTATACAATGTTTTGTATACAAAATTACAATGTTATTTGTAAACTGTTACAACCTTTATATCAGTAAGCTTTATTACAAACATATATAACCTATCTATGCACACATTCCCCACCCCCCCCAGAGAGCTGGGTCTTTATATAATAGAATACCCTGTAGTGTGCTGGGACGTATTTCAGAACTCAAATGTTAACTACGAGGGAGGCTGACAAACAGACGAGGCACAAAGCTGGGGCATGGGTAGCAGAATGGAGAAGCCTGTACACACAGGATTCGTGTGTTCTAGTTCTTCCCACTGCCTGGGTGTTAGGCTGGGAGGTCTTACTATTCCTCACGTTTTCATGTGGAGGAACTTGCACAGAGTTGTCCTGCACATTCCTTAAGTCACTCTAGGAAAGAAGGGACTTGAGGTTGGCTAGTTAGTTAAGAACAGACTGGCCACACCCAGTTCAGCTTCTCTCTTCTCCTTTGGGCTCAGCCATCGGCACAGAAGACATGTTCTCTCTGGCATTAGATCTAACTAGTACTGTGCAGATTCAAGGTTGAAGGGCCAGTTGTCAGGGACACAGAATGTTCTTTGAGCAATTCTGTGCAGGTTCTTAAAGACATGAACTCTTGCCTAAAACAGAATTTTGAAGCCCTCCCATTTTTTATTAGCAATCTCCTCTGTATTTCCCAGCTACACTTTTCAATGAGGACAAGATTAACTCATTCAAGAGGAAACACTAGGGCGCCTGGATGGCAGAGTCAGTTTAGCGTCCGACTCTTGGTTTTGGCTCCGGTCATGATCTTGGGGTCATGATATAGAGCCCCACGTTGGGCTCCATGCTCAGCACAGAGTCTGCTTACGTATCTCGTTCCCTGTGGCCCTCCCTGCCATGTGTGCTCGATCTCTCTCTCTCGAATAAATCTTTTTTTTTTTTAAAGAGAAAACACTGATATTAGCACCCTCTGATATAAGGATAAGCTGAAAGCTGCATGCTTATGAGTTGTAAGGAGGTCCTGAGATCTGCAAACAGGTCCTGATAGGTAGTAACCAGCCTGATCCCTTCTGTGAAGGGCCTGCCTGGCTTTGTCAAGTTTCAGCCACTGTACAGGAAAAAACACACCCGTGTGGCACCTTTACTCCTCCAACACTTCTGACACCAGATGTGGGTGTGTGTGTGGGGGGGGTCCCCACACCAAGCAATTCTGCAACACTAGCCAAATGTCCCACAGTTCAGTTCTGACCCTGTCCTCCTAGAGCTAGCATCAGAGCCCATGGGTTCTGTCCCAAGACTGCCCCCACTTCTGATGCCAGTCACAACTCTGGTTGTCACCCGCATTCTGATCCACCGGCTCTAAATCGGGGCTCCTACAACCCCCTTGAGCTTGAGAATTTGCTGCTCACAGAACTGAGGGAAACACATTTACTGGTTTATTTCATAAGAGGTACAGATAAACAGCCAGACAAAGAGATCCACAGGGCAACATTCAAAGGGCCCACAAGTAGGAGCTTCTGTTCCCATGGAGATGGGGAATACCACCCTCCCAGCATATGGATGTGTTCACCAACCCAGCTCGCCGAACCCCCTACTTTGGGGATTTCATGGAGGCTTCATCACACAGGCATGGCTGATCACTGATTCCATTTCCAGCCCCTCTCCACTCTCCAGCGAACAGGGAGTGGGGTTGAAAGTTCTAAGCTTCTAGTCATGGCTTGGTCTTTCTGGTAAACAACCTCCCAGGGTCAGTGGCAAGGTTTTTAAATTTGTTCTGGCCTTAAGTCTGGATAATGTAGAAATGGACCTTAAATTCAATTTTGTACCGCACTGCAGACCCCACCAAAATTGCCTCATTCAAACCAAGCTCTTCCTATCACCTAGAAAATTCCAAAGGACTTAGGGGAGCTCTGTGTCCGATGCTATCACTCAGGAAGTTACAAAGGTCTTAGGAACTCTGTGCCAGTAACCAGGGACAGAGATCTATATATTTCCTATTATTTCAGAGCCACCTATCACAGGGACTCAACATGCCACAGTAGAAGCCAGCTCAAATGAAGTTGCCAGTCCCCCTTACAAATCCTTGATGTGATCATTGTAACACAGAAACCTATGGGCTAAGATTGGCCAGTGGAGCGAAGGTGGCTTTTTAATTGGTGGGAAGAAATGGGAAGAAATTCGAGATCACGAGTTTCCTCAGACAGCCATCAGATGTATTTCAAGAACGCTGCCCATTTCACTTTTTCCTGAAAGTTCTCCGGGGCAGGTATTGGAAGTTCTTAGGTGCCAGGCGTTGTGCTTGCCCACAGGACTCGGTAGAGTCTACTGCTCTGAAGGATGTCTCAGGAACACGCATTTCAATATGGCGCTTCTTGTAGTAAAGCACATCATTGGTACTTGGAGTACCCAGGGCCCAGACACTAAGAAATCAAATTACTCAGCCCAGAGGTCTAGCCTCATGTTCTCTTTTATAAAGTAGATGTTTGCCTTTAGGTGGAGTACAGGGTGATAAGGATGGGCTGTGCTATTCAGCAGTGTGGGAGAGGAGAGAAAGTATATATTACCACAATAAGAAGATATCTTGCAAGTTCTCTCAGAAATCTGCATTGCAAATCATTTCTAAATTAGTGCAAGAAAACTGAAATGCAAATGCAAAATTAAAATATTTAAGGTCTATTTTTATCCTACCCAAACTTAAGGCCAGAAAAATAGAATTGAATTTCAAAAAACTTACCACTGACCTTAGGATTTCCCAAATCACGGTAGCCTTTTAACAGCCTGTGCACCTTTCGTAAGTAAAAGGGTAAGTCAGATAGTTCATACTTAAATTACTTTAAAACCATTCTTTGGCATTAAGGTTGATTCAGATCAGGAAAAGGTATTTTTTTTTTTTTGGCTCTAATTAATTTTAGAGCCAGAAAATAAAGAGGAAAATCCAAAATTGCCACCCAGCTTACCTGTATGCTCTGTCCAAATCTCTTGCTTTTCTCCTGAATAGCCAGTTGAGCAGAATAGCTGTCCCTGGGCATTTGTCCAGTAGATGAGGTTTCTTTTCCAGTCAATATCCAGTAAATAGATGTTCCTAGGATGCTCTTGAACTAGGGTTCTCTCTATAGCAGTTCCCATAAAACCAACTTTCAATAAGTAGAGACGTTTGCCAGAAGAAAACACTAGCTTTAACTCTACCAAGAAAAAGGAGAGATTTACTGTTTGGCCATTTGTCAGATAAGCCCCATGCTCCTTTCTTGAGCAATCTCTCCAGCTGAGGTGCATTTCTAAAGGGGCCTTTTCAAGTTCCCTTCTGAAACACATATACAACACCAATGCCCGAGGAACACCAATGCCCTAGCTTCCTTGGAGAAGGGAGTCATTTGGGCAAATGAAGAATTGCTCTGCTTTCCAAAGGCACTAAGTCTTTTGAATTTCTGCTGAAAGTTTACACAGAACCACAGGATTAGGGCTGGGCGGTGCCCCATTTGATTCAGTAATGTCCTCAAATCCTTGCTCATGGCACACAAGCCTCAGTAGAAAGAATTTTAAATTTGATTGCCTACTTAAAGAAAAGTTACTTGGGTATTTAACTCTATATATAATGTTCAAGATACAATTTAAGCTGAAGTCCTGGGTTTGGCACAACAGCCTATTACATACACCATGATCACATTCAGTCGCTATCCCGGAGAATTATGTTCTTTAAAGGTAGTTAGAGCATGAACGTATTTACATAATTTACCCTTCTTAAAACCTGAGTGTTCTTTAGCAAAAAGTAATTGGAGGGGGGGGGGTACCGGGGTGGCTTAATCAGTTAAGCAACCAACTCTTAGTTTCAGCTTAGGTCATGATCTCAGGATTGTGAGACTGAGCCCTGCATTGGGCTCCATACTCAGTGAGGAGTCTGCTTGAGATTCTCTCTCCCTCTCCTTCTGCCCCTCCCCCTGTTCATGCTCTCTCTAAAATAAATAAAATCTTTCAAAAAAAAGTAATTTGGATAGAGATGCTCAATGGAGCTTATAAGCCTTAATATTTCAAAGACAAAACAATTAACAATACTGAAGTACACCCTGCTTATAAACCTAAGTCAGAATACACAATAGTCATAAGACTATGGAGAATTTCTTTTTCATACCAACTTAATTTTGGGGTAAAACTGAGAGGTGTTAGCTATTTTTTCCTGCTTCAAAAATCAATCAAACCCAAATATTCATTGATGGATGAACGGAGAAATCAAATATAGTATAAACAAAATGATTATTCAGCCTTAAAAAGAAAGGAAATTCTGACACATATTACAACATGTATGAACCTTAAAGATAGTAAAGTAAAATAAGCCAGCAACATAAGGACAAATACTGTAGGATTCCACTTATATGAGGTTCCTAGAGTTGTCACATTCATACAGAAAGAATGGTGGTTTAAGGGTGGGGCTGGGGGGAAAAGAATGGGGAGTTATTGTTTAATGGGTATAAAATTTCAGTTTAGGGAGATGAAAAAGTTCTGGAGAGGGGTGCCTGGGTGGCTCAGTCAGTTAGATGTCCGACTCTTGATTTCGACTCAGGGCACGATCTCAGGGTCATGAGATCAAGTCCCACATCAGGCTCTGCGCTCACTGGGGAGTCTGGTTGAGTTTCTCTCCCTCTCCCTCTGCCCTTCCCTCTTGCTCACACACTCTCTAAGTAAATCTTTAAAAAAAAAGAAAAAGTTCTGGAGATGGATGGTAGTGATAGTTGCATAAAAATGTGAATACACTCAAAGCCACTCTACACTTGAAAGAGGTTAAAATAGCAAGTTTTACGTTCTATACTTTTAACACAATAAAAAAAAAACCTAATCAAGATCTTTGGACAACAAAACTTATCAAAGTAAGGTTGTCAGTGTTAAAGTGATTGATCCCAAAATGGAAACTACATTATTTCCAGGCCTACCATGGAATGTGCCTCCTTGAACCAAGCCCATTTCACCCAGCATACTTACCACTACATATCCCAGAAGGTAAAAGGAACATTCCCTCTGGACAAACACACTTATAGCCCTTGGGATGGACGGGGGACAGGAGACAGAGGTGGCTGCACGAGCCCGGAGCACATGCTGGGTATTTGCCTATTTTCAAATAGAAATAGGTTAGATATGATTTCAGAATTCTCCACACTAGTTCAAAATTTAATACTCAAGGGGAGTTAAGTTAGTTTTGCCTTAAGAGGAATCCCAGTATACTCGTTACCTTCTAGGTTAGGCATGCTGACCTTTAAACTCCCATGATCCCCTTTCGGATAGTAGCAATTACTTATCCATATTAAGCTCAGGCCAATAAGTCTTCAACTAACAGCATCTTCTGCGCTAGAGTTAAGGCAAAAGGACTGCCCTGGTTGCTGATAGGAAGACTCCTTTAGAAGTAAATAGTGGTCTCAGCTCTCTACTTCGGTGAGTCTCTCGGACCCATTTAAGAAGTATTATCTGAGTTGAATCTGACATATAATTTCTGATTAACAAAAGCTTTTAACTCCTAGTCAATGAATATTTGACTTCCTTCTATAAACAGGATGCTGGGCTTTCTTCAATTTTCTGTCAAGAACTGAAAACTTCTATGTCATCAACAGTTAACATGTCAGTGACATACCCTTGGGCTGTTGGGATTTGTGGAGGACCGAGAAAGCAGATATGGAAGCATTGAGCAATACCACTCTCTCCTTTGGGGTGTGGGGTGAAGTGTGAAACAGCCGTATTTTATTTGCCCAGAAGAAAGAGTTCTCAAATACAGCTAGTCCTATCGGGTCATCATCTTCCAAGAAGATCTCAGGAAAGGTGTGCCTCCCACTGCCATCCACGTTTATTGTCTCTATGGACTGAAGGGTAGAGTCATGAGAGCCGGGCAGCATTAGCAAGAGGTGCTGACGTCAGTGTGCCTCTTGCGTGGACGCCAATTAAACATCTTCACACGCTATCAACTTGATAAAGATGAAAGCATCTTAGAATCCACGGACGCTAATGCCAAAGCCAGTGGTTGGACTGGCTGGGGTCACAGGTACGTTGTATAAGTAGCTTCTATATCTTACTGTCTGCATCCAGACATTGTACCAAGTCCTTTCCCTACATTCCCTAACTGCTATCTGAGATAAACAGAGAGGGCAATGGGAGCTCAAAGAGGTGCCATAAATTGCCAAAATCACAGCTGAAGTAACAGACTTAAAAATACAACTCCTGGGGTCCCTGGCTGGCTCAGTTGGTAGAGCATGCAACTCCCGAAGTCAGGGTTGTGAATCCGAGCCCCTCATTGGGTATAGAGATTACTTTAAAAAAAAATGGGGGCGTCTGGGTGGCTCCGTTGGTTAAGCATCTGCCTTCAGCTCAGGTGATGATCCCAGGGTCCTGGGATGGAGCCCCACGTCGGGCTCCCTGCTCAGCGGGGAGTCTGTCTCTCCCTTTCCCTCTACCTCTCCCCACCATGCTCTCCCCCAACCCAAATAAATAAATAAAATCTTAAAAAAAAAAAAACAACTAAAGTCTTAGAAAAAAACTATGACTCCCAAGCCTACGCTTTTAGCCACCATGTCATATTGGTCTGTCAGTTTGATGTTTCCAAAAATAAGATAAAATCAACTGTAATATTAAGACTTAGAAATAGGAGTACAAGTAAGTACAAAGTAAGAAGTGCTTAACGACATGCTTTCAAGGAGGTGGTCTGCCATCTTAAAAGGTTTTATATCCTGGGTAACAACATGGAATATGACCTATACTACCAGGAAATTCCAGTGTTAAGTTTGACTGCAGTGTTTGAGAAAGTCACACTAAGTCTCCCAACCTATGTTGATCTGGTCGGGCTCTACCTAAAGATACTGTGCCATCGTAGCTTGCTTTTCTCAGTCTTCATGGCCAGAAGACACCTTGCAGCGTTGATGAGAGACTTAGGAGAACTTTGTAGTTACCTACAGTCCTACCAAGCCCCTACTAAAACCATTTTCTTCCTAACCTCTCTCCAGTACCTCTTTATATTCGCTGATCCAGTAGAGCCGGCTGGCCACGTAGTCAAGTGTCAGTCCCACAGGCTCCTCCATGTGGGCAGCTGCGAGCACCTTCCGATCCGAGCCGTCCATTCCTGCAGCTTCAATAGTTCTCCTGCCTTTCTTACCACGATTTACCCAAAACAAGGACCTGAGGAAAGCAAAAGCGCAAAGTGTTAACAGTACCCCCCCTCCCCGCCGCACTGCACATATGCTGTCCTGAACAGCCAGGCCCCCTTAGCGCTCTTGTTCAGGCCCCAGGTCACCGCGCAGCTAAGAATGCAGGAGATCTCTGCCCTCAGACTCAGTGGGCTGAAAAGCTGCGCTCCCTAGGATTCAATTTAGACTTAAAATGAAGACATTTTTGGAGCAAATGAGACCTATGTTGAAAACATGGAAGGGCTCTCTTATCAACTTAAGTATCTAAGATAACCAATGATTTAGGATATATTCTCAAAGAAACAATACTTACTTCTTGGTGGGAAACACGATTAGCTGCTCGGGCACCAGATCCTTTTCCAAGATCTTGACGTAGCCTCTGCCATCACTCAAGCCAGCACCGATGACCCTCGCGAAGCTGCTAGCCCAATACAGCTGCCCCGTGAGCCAGTCCAAAGAGATGCTGTCCACGGTTTTAAGTTCTGGGGATACACGAGACAGTATTATGCTCCTGTATTCTTCTACCTTCTTCTTACCTTGAAAAAAAGATTCGGACTAAACTTTTCTACATCTTCTGATTTCAAGCCATATGAGGCAGCAAACGGGACCCAGGGAAGGAAGACCAGAGATGTACTATGTCCAATATACAGTGGGTGGTAGGGAAAGAGAAGGACCTTAGCAGAAGCAGAACCAAGAAATCCAAGAGAATGCAATGACCTCAGTTTGGGGCAACATCTATTACGGAAGTCTCAGGGGGATTGTTAGGAATTGCAACTCTTAACTGCTAGCAGAGGATTTCTATGTGCCCAGGACAACGTCAAGCACTTCCTCACGTGTACCATTCTTCTTGAATCCTCACCCCACCCCACCCATGCTTACCCAATGAAACAAGGGCTATCCCTTTCGTCTTACTGAGCGTGGCTCAAAGGAGTTAACAACTTGCTCAAAGTCACATACCTAGTGATGGAGCGGAGACTAACCTTGGCCTGAGGCCACATCCCCAAACTTTCTGTACTTCCTTAGAGTGACCTCATTCTCCAGTTATGCTCTACCAAAGCTCCTGTTGAGCCAAATTACGTGGTCTTATCTCAAATCGGGATTGTATACACTCTCATGATTCACGACAAGTGAGTCCACAGACGATGTCCAGATAAATACATAGGTTGCTTATACTCTGCTGAAGTAGCTTTAAGAAGTTAAGGCTCTTAACGTCAAGAAATATACCTGGATAGAGAGGAACCGAGTTTGGCTGCCCAAGGATGAACACATGTAAGACTTCATCCACCCAAAAGTACATGCTTCTCTCAAGATCATAGGCAACAGAAGTCGGCCTCGATTTTATAGGTATCAGAGTCTCATAGAGGCCTGTTCTTCGATCCAGGACACCAAGTTCTCTGTCTGCAGCTATAAGAATTTTAACAGCATCATCTGCAATAGAAGTTGGAAAAGGAACAGTGACACATCCCTTTGACACCTTCTTTCAGGCCATTCTCTTTCACCAAAGATGCTGTCCCATCTCCCATGCTAAAACCCACTTATCCCTGAAGTCTGGATTCAGGCGTGTCCAGAGGAGATCTAGCTGACCACCCTAAGTTACAATTCCTCCTCTGAAGTCCAACACTTTCCAACTCATCTTTGGAACTTTGGGCCTATTTGATTTCAGATGCAGTCCTTCCCCCACCTAGACAGAGGTCCCCTCCACCACCACCTCCATCTCCATCTCGTACACGAGTTACCTAGTTACCTAGACAGCCAAAAGGAATTCACCGTTCCATCGTCAAAGCAGAGCAGGCCAAGTTAACATTTTTTCAGGGGGGGAGGTCTCTGGAGCACCTAGGTGTATAGCCTACAGAATAGCTAAGTCATTTTATTTTTTTATTTTATTTTTTTAAAGATTTTATTTATTTATTTGAGAGAGAGAGAATGAGAGAGAGCATGAGAAGGGGAAGGGTCAGAGGAAGAAGCAGACTCCCTGCCGAGCAGGGAGCACGATGTGGGACTCGATCCCAGGACTCCAGGATCATGACCTGAGCCGAAGGCAGTTGCTTAACCAACTGAGCCACCCAAGTGCCCTAGCTGAGTCATTTTAAAGATACTTAATATGGGGGCACCTGGCTGGCTCAGTCAGGAGAGCATGCAACTCTTGATCTTGAGGTTGTAAGATGTAGCCCCCTAAGTAGAGATTACTTAGGGAAATAAAATTAAAGAAAAATAAAGACACTTAATAGCAACTGATACTTGATTTGGCCAAGGAATGTTGTAATAGCAGCTTCTTTATGGAAAGAATAAAGTCACCTCTAATATTAGACCCTAAAGTGAATCATCGATAGCACTGCTATCTATAATTACCGCTAAGGACAGAGCAAGGGCTAGGCTTTGCTTAGGGTTGTGAAACTCACCTGTAACTCGACAACTGGTACCATTGTAGAGCTGGTGACCTTGAACACACGCACAGGAGTAAGAGCCTGGGACGTTACGGCATAGCTGGCCACAGGGACTGTAGGCCTTGGAGCACTCATCTATATCTGATAGAGAGTCAGAAGTCAGAGATGACCACGGAGCAATCTTTTGAGTGTTTTGGGGCCATTGGGCCCCCTTTCAGATGCTCACTGGACATGTATTATGTGGAAATCCCTGTGCTGGGTGCTGGGACGGACAGTCCCTGCCTCTATGGAGTTGCCATACAAGTAAGTGTAATTCAGTAGGAACGTCAGTGTGGAGACCCCAGATGTGTGGCTCGTACAGAATCCAGATGGAAGTTACCCTAGCAACACTGTTGGCGGTGTTGCTGATTCAGAATGAATGGTAAGATGCTTGTGCACTGCTGGGGGGGATGTCAAGTGGAGCAGCCCCTGTGGAAAAGAGTTTGAAGTTTTGTCAAGTTAAACATAGAAGTTACCGCATGATATGACAATTCCCCTTCTGGTGCATACCCTGGAGTATCGAAAGCTGGGATTCAGACATATGTACACCAATTGTCCATAGCATTGTCCACAATAGCCAAAAGGTGGAAACCACCCAAATGCCCATCAACAGATGGATCAACAAAATGGGGCATATACATAGAATGAGGTATTTGGCCTTAAAAAGGGAAGGAGAGTCTGACACCTGCTACGACATGGATGAACCTTAATGACAGGCTAAGTGAAATAAGCCAGACACAGAAGGACAGATACCACATGACTGCACTTAGATGCAGGACTAGAACAGGCAAATTCAGAGAGACAGAAAGTGGATAGAGTTTCCCAAGGACTGGGGACAGAGTTCTTGTTTAATGGGGACAGTGTCTGTTGGGGAAGATGGGAAGGTTCTGGAGATGGATCGGGGTGATGTGTACACCCATTGTGAATGTGGTGGAGGCCACTGAATTACACCCTTAAAGTGATTAAGATGGTAAATTGTATGGCATGTATGTCCCGCTGCCATAAAAACTTCGGAAGATGCACCAGATGAACTCTGACCTGCACAGCTCTGCCCGTCCGGCTGTAACTGCCACCCAGCTCCACACGAACACTGGACTCCCCAGGTGGTGTCACTGCACTGCCTCTCACAGCCCCCATTAGCCAGGGAGCAGTTTTTCCCTGGTAGAGATAGGGCAGCGGTCAGGAGAGCTGAACACAGTATGGATCAAACGTGGTGTTACAACCCCCTACACGGTGAGAGGACTAAGCTGTGGTGTTACAACCCCCTACATGGTGAGAGGACTATAGAGGACATCTGAAGAATAACCTTTGACCCTGCCCTCTGACCTAGGAATGTGGAGGCTTTGGGGCAAGACCATAGAACAGGGCAAGTGAGGAATCATGGAGCAGGGGAAAGGACTTTTCTAGGCAGACAGTCTGGATAAATTTCAAATGCTAGTGTATTGCTCACCCACGGAAGGGCCAGCATCCTCTTCCCTATTTTCTCTAGAAAACAGGAGTGGCCAGGACCCTTGCCTCAGGAAGCAATATAGTAATTGCTTAGTCTCAGCGAATTACCTCTATAGCACCGGAAACCTGTGCTTTGTCCCACTGTTCATGCTTTCAGTGTCTTATGTGTTCCTTTAGTAGAAAGCGGCTTTCACAGCCCTTAGCAGCACTACAGAGGTCTCATCATATACATCTAAGCCCAGATTTAAGGAGGAAGTGAGGCAGATGACAAAGTGACCTGGGGACAGGTGCTCCCCCCGCCAACTTGAAACAACAGTGATTTTTATAGTGAGAATCACAAGGTTTCAAAGTTTGAGATGCTTGCTCAGGAGCCTCCCTCCTCACCAGGAAACAGTCTTCCTCAGTCCTTCCTCAGTTAAATCCTTAGAGAATTCACCATATGGTCTTGAACACGTGATTCGCTTCTCAGTGGCAAAGTCTGTGTTTTTTTATTCCAGAATTTTTGGAGCAATGTGGTTTGAGGCATTTAGTCTGTTTCCCTAGAGCCATAATGTGAGGAGAACTCACAAAGTTTTAGAGCTCAGGGAAGCTCTGCACACACTCAGGAGACCAGAGCCGAGGCCCGGAACTTGTAGGACGTGGGGGCCCCATCATGGAAGGATGACTGCTGACGTAGGGGTTTGGTCCAAGCATTCCCTGAGAGCGTGGACCCCCATGATAACTAAGGCATTGGCTGATGTAATCGGAGTCTCCCCACCCCCACGTGACACCCAGCAATTGGGTCCTCACCACATGTAGTGGGTTCATCAGCACCATCTGCACAGTCTGCCTCCCCATCACACATCAGGGATTCCAGGATGCATTTCCCTTCATCGCATCTAACCATGCCTTCTGGACAGGAGGCTGTGTAGGAAGAAGAGCCTTCTTTTCCAACAGCACGTGGGGGAAGGAGGAGTCAAAACAGACAATCATTAATTACAGTAAGGTGGCAGGATTTTCAGAACCAAGGCAAGTCTAGAGAGGAAAGAAAGTCTTATCATTTTAAGCAGAGTTATCAGGGAATTGGGACTTAAGACTTGATAACGATGAAGTCACACAAGGCACTTGGGCACTGGGTTGAAATAATATTGAATTCGAATTGAATTAGTATTAAGTAGTTGTAATTGAAATGGTGTTAAAATCTGTCAACATGAACCCTAAAGGAAAAACCAGTTTATACATGATAAAAATGTTAGAATCTGAATATATTCAATATTGCAGATTTAATTCTAGAAAGATCAAGTGGGACTGTGGTTTACCGTGAAGTTGGAGCTTCCACTGCATTGTGTATGTGGGGTAAAGAAAAGGAACATGGTACTCATCAAGTTCTTCGCAGGGGTTGGGGGATGGGGGAGGGAGTCCTCTTTTAATGAAAATTTCCCCCCGTCATTGACTACACAAGGACGTGAGGCGTCCGTTAGGAGGCTTCCTTCAGATATGGACGCTCCGGGGCTCTGAGCCGTGGCCATATTGCCTAGAGCGTCCAGCAGAGTTACTATTTGAGCACTGCTCGATGCTTCCATGGACAACTAACTACGTCTTGGTCATTGCTAGGAAACATCCTGTTTTTAGATATAGGATGGAAGTCTCGGTTATAGGAATTAAAATGCAACTTTTATAAAGCAGCCCACATGGTACAACGGTCCTCTTTAGAGGATAGGCCGGGAGGGGGGAGGGGAGAGGCACTCACCACAGGCGTCCTCGTCCGAGGAGTCCCCACAGTCATTGACCCCATTGCACCTCCAGCTATCTGCGACACACACCTGGTTCCTGCACTGCCACTGGCCCGCCAGGCAGCGGTTCGGGGAGCAGCGTGCTTCATCGAGCCCATCTCCACAGTCCGCAGGGACGTCACAGAGTCCCCAAGCCTCGCGACACTGAGAATGTCCCGGACACCTGACTTTCTGGCCAGGGCATGCCGTGGAGACCTCTGTAAAAGGCAGGCGTTGGCTCAGTGTGGTGGAACGGCTGAGCTGCAGGCTTGTGTATTTGGGTATTCACAGTTTGCTCATGGATTTGTTCTCCAGAAAACCAAGAACCGAACGGGATGCGGGCCACTGGAGATGTGGCCCCCAACTCTGTACACTGAAGTTTCACCCCCAAAGCAGTTTAAAAAGCCAACAGAGGCAAGAATCTTTTAGGTGATTTTGCAAAATGCAGAAGTGGATAAAAGGTCACCTGTCATGCCGGCGACAATCGAACATGTGGATTTAGCCCCCATCCGGCAGAAGACTATCCAGTGACTTGCTGGTGTCACTTAATTGCGTGGAGGTTCATCGAGGTGGCTAACACAGAACATGTCCGAAGAGAAAATAAATTGTACGTACCACAGTTAACCTCATCGGAGCCGTCCAGGCAGTCCCCTGCGCCATCACAGAGCCAGCTAACAGAAATACACTTCCCGTCATCACACTGCCAGGCCCGTGGGTGTCCACGACACACTTCCTCTGCGGGCCGGGGGTAGTGTTCGAGAGGCAGAGAGGAAGAGGTGTTTGTCAGGGCGTTGGCAGCTTTTCAATTTGGGTTTCGTACGAAGTATTTTCATTAGCAAAAGTACGATTAAGTCCCGATCTGCCACGGAGTCCACCCTAAATTTGCCTGTCCTTTCCATGTCACCCCGAACAACACACCATACCCCTGCCTTCCAGCTTCAGTACTTATTTAAAATGTTTTATCCCAGTTTCAGTACTTGTCCCATGTTTAAGCTAGACTTGAAGGTGAGAAGCCAGACTTGTGCTGGATTTTCTATTCCAGCTAGCCCCCCACACTTGTCTTGAGAACAGTGCTACCAACATGTACATCCCTAGACTTACCTGCTGAAAGCCTGCAACAACCCAGCACACCTAATATTCCTGAATACCCCCTAAGAGGGAAAACCCTAAGACCTGACACCGTCAGCCAGGCACACGGCACTAAGGGCCATTCATGGATGAGAACACAATACAGCGAGGAGTGCTCACCACACTGCTCATCAGTCCCATCAGGGCAGTCTTGCTGTCCATTGCAGAGCCAGGTCACAGGAATGCACCTTTCCCCACACGCAGCTTGCCTCGTCATGTTACACCTTACTTCATCTGCATTGGATGAACAAAGAGCAAATCATGCGAGTTCCTGGCTTCCTTGGGTACAAGAGAACACCTTTTCACGAGAAGCTGCAGTGAAAAGGTCATTCAGAGGAAGGTCCTTCATCTAATACCCAGAACACTAGGGGGATTCAGTACCATAAAAATCCATAGCACTTCTGCAGTAATGATACTTGGAAACTGTTCTTTCTGGTGGTGTGGAGTTGGGAAATTGCCATTCACCTCTGTTTTCCCATTCGAATGGGGCCAACCTGTGCTCAAAGAGACCCAGCTACTTCTCCAGATCTGGTTTGATCTTAAAGACTCTGTATGAATAGTTGCACATTTAGAAGTCTAAGCTCAAAGTTGGGGCTCTAGTTTACTTTAAAAAAAAAAAAGATTTATTTTTTTGACAGAGACATAGAGAGAGAGGGAACACAAGCAGGGGGAGTAGGAGAGGGAGAAGCAGGCTTCCCGCTGAGCCGGGAGCCCGATGCGGGGCTCAATCCCAGGACCCTGGGATCATGACCTGAGCCGAAGGCAGACGCTTAACGACTGAGCCACCCAGGCGCCTGGACTCTAGTTTACTTTTAAGCATGTGCAGACACATCTAAAAATTAGATTAGGATTTTGGGTCCTACATACTGTTTTCATAAGAATGACTCTAATAGGTTGGTTATAAATCTTTAAGGTTAGGTTTCAGTTATTTGCGTGAGACTGATTTACACTGTCTGTTTTATTCAAGTCATGAACTTGTGTTTATCAACCTTGAATGATTAATGCTCAAAAATAAGCCTGTTACGGGGCACCTGGGTGGCTCAGATGGTTAAGCGTCTGCCTTCGGCTCAGGTCATGATCCCAGGGTCCTGGGATTGAGCCCCGCATCGGGCTCCCTGCTAGGCAGGGAGCCTGCTTCTCCCTCTGCCTCGGCCTCTCTCTCTCTCTCTCTCTGTCTCTCATGAATAAATAAACATTTTAAAAAAAAATAAGCCTGGGGCGCCTGGGTGGCTCAGATGGTTAACCGTCTGCCTTCGGCTCGGGTCGTGATCCCAGGGTCCTGGGATCGAGTCCCGCATCGGGCTCCCTGCTCCTTGGGAGCCTGCTTCTCCCTCTGCTTCTCTCTCTCTCTCTCCCTCTGTCTCTCATGAATAAATAAATAAAATCTTAAAAAAAAAAAATAAGCCTGTTATGGAATGTGGTCCTCAGAAGGAAGCACCAGGAAGGGCTGACTATACTGAATTTACTACACTGTCCTAACTTTCAAAGAGAAAAAGCCAATCTTTAGTTCCTAGAAAAGATAAACCACCTGGCCTGTACTAGAAGTCTCTGCAAGATGCAGCGAAGAACCCCCCTCCATGGTCCTACTCCCAGACACAATTTGTACATGGAATGGAAAGTGGTACGCAAGGCTGTGTAATGGAAATTGACAATGGAAGGCCATTGTGTAGACCACACCTTCTTTGGTAAGTGACCATTTCTTAGTCTTACTTGTATCCCTCTAAGATAGTACTTTTAGCTTAGCTACTCAAGGTTTGATTTTGTTTTAAGGCTGACTTATAAAAAACATTTTAAATATTCAGAAAGTATTGGTTACTAATGGGTAGCTAACAATTCTGCCATCTACTCACGTGCCATGCAAGCCATGTCACTTAGCTTGACCAAAACCATTGAGAGCAGGTGATGTTATCAGCCATTAATATGGAGCACAGATTTAGCTGTCAGGTTACATAGGTTGGCATTTTAGTGAGATCACTTACTAACAACATGACCTTGGGAGAGTTACTTCCTCTCTCTGGATCTCAGTTTTCTGCCTATAAAATGAGACTAGTAAATAAGTGATCAGAAGAGAAAGATTCATAGATTAAATGGCCACAAAGCCACTTGGCACAGTATACCCACCATATAAATCTTCATAAAGCGTTAACTCTTTTGCTACCACTTCTGGAAGATCCTTCCAGAAGGATCCCAATTAGGGGTCCAGTCAGCCCTCAAAGACTCACACTTGCAGGTGAGTCACACCTTGAACAATATTTTGCCCTGGTGATTCTCAGTCTGGAGACCAAGTGTGCATATAGATTCTACACATCTGCAGATGGGTCTCAAAACATTACTTCTCACTTATGTAGATGCTTACTGTGAATAAATCAGAAATGTGTTAATATATTTACTTATATGTTAAGTATAGGGTAGCTTTCTCAGTCTGTTAATATGCCAAGTAGGGTGATCACATGCTATTCTAGAACAGACATCCTAAAGAGGGCTGCATGCCATAAGGCTTCGGTAACCACCGCTTTGTAAAAAATGCAAGTAGCTGTAAAGGTGCTTCAGGAGTGATGCAAAAAGACCACACAGAGCAAGGGCTTCTCATCACTGCAGAGATGCCCCACCAGGTGAGGCAAAAATCCTGTGGGTTAGTATCCCTCCTGGAAGACAAACAACTCAGTTAAGTGGCACCCCCTCCAAATTAGTTAACACCCCCTTGACCAAGAGTCTGCATAAGTTAAAATGATTTAAAACCAGCCTTCAATCTATGAGGGCTATCGAGGAGCACCTGTCGGGAGAGATCCGCAGGCCAGACAGTTTGACAAATGCTAGGCACCTCCTAGACATAGCTAAGCCAACAACCGGCCACCCACCACTTGGAAACTGTGGGTGTCTCAGTCACCCTGGGGCATGGACTCAGCTCTCCTCTGCCCTGGGGTCCGCCTGAACCTGAGTGGTATATCAAGTGCCACAGAACTGCACCTCAGACCCAAGCCCCATTTCCCCGTGCTGTTTCTGGAGTGAGGTTATGTCTTCCCGAGGCCCCGGGCCTCCACCCAGGCTAAATCTGCTGCCTGGTGATCGCTGAGCTGCGGGTCCCCTCGGAGACCAGGGCTAGAAAGCGGATCCCACTAGGCCAGGATGTTGGGGGAAGGAAGAGGGTGCGCCCTGCACTCAGGTGTGCAGAGAGCTCTCTCCCACACGCTTGGGGAAGGATGAAGGAAAGACACAGAGGGTGTCCGCGGAGCCCACCTACCCTTCCCCACTGGGCAGAATGGGAAGGAGTCAAGGGCAGAGAAGCAGGGCACCACGCGACTCATCTGGCGCGCCCCCCCCCCAGAAGGCCCGACGTCACCCTCCTCTGTGGAAGGTCACTGCAGAACGGGGGCTGGGGGGCGTCGCGCACACCAGCCAGGGTGCCCCAAGCTCCCCTCCCGCCCCTTGCAGCGCCCCCCAGCCCGCCACCCCTGTACCCTGCGAAGCGGGCTGCCGTCCCTTCCAGGGCGCCCCGCCCGCGGCCCCACTCACCGGTCCCGGAGCCCGCGAGGCCGCCCAGCGCGGCCAGCACCCGCGGCAGGAGCAGAAAGAGCGCCCGGCGCCCCATGGCTGGGAGCGGACTGGGCGCCTCGGGGCTGGCGTGGCGCTTGGGGGAGGAGACCGCGGGCGGTGCCGGGGGCGGGCTTTCCTCGGCTCGCGCCGCTCATTGGGCCTGGCTGGGGCCGTGGGCGGGGCGTGGGGAGCATCGACACCGCCAGCTCCCGGGGCCGCGCTGCCCGGGCCCCAGCCAGGCGGCCGGGAGCACAGCGCCCGCCTCTCCGCAGGTCTCCTCTCCTGCCGTGGGACAGGAGACACTCGCCTAACTCGGGGCCTGACCATTGCCACGCGGAGGGGCAAAGTGGGAACGCTCAGCCATGCTTAACCAAAGGATTCCCAAACTTTTAAGAGCACGGGAATCACCTGGCACTCTCCTTAATAGGCAGACTCTGATCTTACAGGTCTAGAACGGGGCCTGAGAGTCTCTAACAAAATCGTCATCAGGTGATGCCTTTGTTGCTGGTCCTCAGACCTCACACTGAAACCCCAAGGCTTAATAGCTTCCAAACTAGGGCAGCACTGTGAACCCAGGTCTCAGGAACGCTTCTCTGCCAGGACTCCCGCTCTGCCTCCTGCCTTCCCAGCGCACCGTGGCAGAAGCAGGCCCTCCTGACCTGGGTCTGTGCTGATGGCTCTGAGGTGTCAGCCCTGAAAAGCACCAAAGCCCTGAAAAACACCATTCCTCTTCCAGTCTGTGTCCCTGCGGGAGTGGAATACTCTCATCAACCGTGGGACACCGACATGGATTTGGTGGGTGGAAATCCCTGGAGGGTCGCAGACTTCTAGGACGGGAAGGATTCGAAGGTCATTTTATCCAAATGCTGCCATTCGGGGATGAGATTATGGATAAAAATGAGAGTTGGTGACACATTACCAAAGACATAGACCACCCTCCCATCCCCTTCTTTAGCTAAGCTGTGGCATTCCTTCTTTCCAGTACACCCAGAGAAGTGAGTGTCACATTCTTGGAGAGAACACGACCAAGTTAGAATTTTAGAATGTTCAACTGGCAAGGAACATTTATAGTGTTTGGGAGCTCAAGCAGCAAAAAACACCAGGAAAAAAAAAATAGAAACAGAAAACTGAATTGCAAAGTGCCTTCTTAGATTTTATTTGCAACACAGTACTCCAACAGCTTTCTTTTAAATCATACCTCCTCTTCATGTTCACTGCTGGTCCCATCAAACCACACTTTGAAGATATCAGAATGCCATATGCTCTGAAGTTTTCTTTAAATTCATTGTATGCTCTGATTGCATAAGCCACTTAAAAAGACCCCTCCACTTTTAACAAAAATCTCCTAGTATATCATATTGATTTCTGCTGAAAGGTTGTTGCTTTAGAAACAGATTATCTCAAATGCTTAATGGTCTTGACTGACACAATAGAGCAACTCGGAGTTTTAAGAATATAGACTAGTTTTCCTCCCAGAAAGGAACTGAAGCTAGTGGTGAGTACCTGGAATTGAAGTGTGGGAGACCTGGGTTCAGTCTCAGCTAAATGAAGTGATATGTGGCTACAAATGGTAGCTATATTGTTAAGAACAGCCAGTGTCGACTCTTAATAACCCACACCAGCTGAAAAAAGCCAGAGACATGAGTGATAGAAGTAAGAATTTCAGTAACATTTATATTTGTC